AACAGAATATAGTGTATCTGTGTGGCATTTGGACAAGAACAAACTGGGAGGAGGGTAGAGAGAATAGTGCAACAATGAATGAGTGGAAGCCCAAAATCTCTGTAAATGTTTATGAAAATTAATAAAATATAATTATAGAAAAAAAAAGAATATAGTGTATCTGAGAATTGGCAGGGTATCTTCAACTTTTTAAAATGGAGAAATTTAGGTTAAACAGCTTATACACAGAATATACAAAAGTTAAATACAGATGTAAATTTATTGTGTCTTGGGGTGAGAATAAAGGTAAAATTGTGTCTTGGGGTGAGAATAAAGGTAAAGAAGTAACTATAAAAGAAAATGATAGCTTTAAGCCCAAAACAAACAAAGATAAATGAACAACAATCCCTATATTCTATGAACTAGAAATTTTATGGCTAAAATAAACTTTATCCCAAGGGAGAAAAGCAAGATGTTTAAAAAAGTCTTAACATAAAATGATTTTAAATGGTGCATTACATACTGAAAATAAAAAAGAAACAAAACCTTAAATGTTCAATAACTGGGATGGCTTAAGGAAATTACAGTCTATTTGGCTGACAGAAAATCATAAAGTCTTTAAAATTATGTTTATGAAATCTTTAATGATGGGAAAACATGTTTAGGATTTAAATGAACATAAAATTGCAGTATTTTCAGCTACATTTCAAAATTGTTCGATGTGGGATTTTTTTTTTACTATTAACTTCCTTTTATATGTTTCTGTAGTTTCCTAATGAGTCATGTAGTTTTACTTTTTTTTCTTTTTAAGGGGGTAATAAAAAAGGACACTTTTATGCCTCTTGGGGAAGAAACTCTGGTAGATAAAATCGGTAGAGAGCTGTGCTGTTAACCCAAAGGCAGCACTATTCTGGTGGCTCAAATCCATCTGCAGCTCCACAGGATAAAGCTGGGCCAACTTCTGTGAATTTCATAGCCTTGAAAACCTGCTGGAAGGTCAGCTGTGAGTTGGTTCAGGCTCCACAGCAATGAGTGAGAGAGATGACTTAGGGCTTAGTTTTGAGGAGTCTAATTCCCATCTCAGATCAACTGCAGAATCTCTGGGACCAGGGCAGCACGATTTTCCCAGCGGTCCCCAGCTGGATAGAATCTGACAGACATTCAAAGTTGAGAACTCCAAACCTAGCTTAGAGCAGACGTAAAGCCTTCCAAACCAACAAGAATACCAATTCTGTGGCAATATCTTTTTGTTGTTGTTGCTACTGATTGTAATAATGGTAAAGTACATATATATTTTCAATATTTTATTTTTTATACTAAAATAGCAAAAGCCTTTTCATTATGAAATCCCTTATTACTGGGAATTCAATTATAGGAAAAGTGCCAGTATGAAATTAATTTTGATCAGTTTAGTAAGAATGTTGGCATGTTTAACAGAAGGAATTTCACAAGAAATGTTGCTACCAGGTTAGATAATTTTTGGTGGCTTTTAACATTAATTAGAATCATGGAGGAGAATATTCTTTTTATTTCTTTTATATCAAAGTTATGTAAGCTGACATTCAAGAGATGTCACAGTAGAACTATACCTTTGTTTCCTTTCTCCAGAGGCAATAACTTTCAATTTTACCTGATTCCCTATTCTATTATTCTATTCCTTATTATTTTATTCCAATATTTCAGTTACAGACATTATTAAGTGATTTATTGTTGATAGGAAAGAATGTTGTTCTCTTTTACCCCTATTTCCTGTTGTACATATTTTTTCCCTTCCCATTTTCCCAACGCATACTCTAATTTGGTTAATCAATAATCAACAGTCAACATTTATATTATTTATATTAATGCTAATCACAGCAGAATCACAGAGTTCATATTCTAGGGATCTTTTCTCGAACAAATTCATGTTTTTTTTTTTAAAAGTTAGTAATTGCTGCTTTTTCATGTGATGCTTCTGGTGTAATTACTCATAATTCAATCTCAAATTTACCTCCTCTGTATACTCATTTCATTTTTTCAAAGCAATCTCTGGCAGCCATGTATGCTACTCCAGTCTCACTAGCTGCTCTTTAGCTCTGCTGCATCACAGATGCTCTGGGACGCTCATTCATCCCTTTTTCTTTTTCTCATATTAGCTCCTGTCTTGAGAATTTCACGTGTACTTCCTGACTGACTTCTATGCACTCTGTATGTAGTTCAAGGCCACCATAATGGTACACTTTTTAAAATTGTAAGTCATTAATATTGTAGCACTTAATGTTTCAGTAAGACACACAATCCTGGATTAAAAATTATTTTCCTTCAGAATTTGAGAGTAGTGATCCATTGTTATTTTTCAGTGATAATGAAGAATCTTTCAGTGTTACTGACTTGGTAGACTGTTTCAACCTGAAAATCTGTCATTAATATTAACTTCTCTGGTGTTTCTCTCTTTTGTTTTCCTTCCCTCTCTTACTCTTTCAGAAACTCCTATTGTATGGATTTATTGGTTGGATGTATAGTTTTTCTCTCCAGGAATAATGGTTTTAAAAAAATTATTTTATTATTGTTATTATCAATGTGTGTACCATCAAATTGGATCTGACTGGTACAGGAGTTGATTGTGTCTCCTTCTTCAGCAGAGCATTTGGTGGATTTGAACTGCACACCTCTGGGATTGCAGTGCAGCTTCTTGCCACTAGGCCACCAGAGCTCACCAAATAATGGTATTTTTTTGACGTTTACTTTTCCCTAAAGAGGTACTGCTCACTCTTGTTTCTGTTTCTTCGGTTTGGTCTTCACTTGTGATATTAAGATTTACCTTAAGAGTGTGGCTATCCTAGACCGTGTCACTAATGCATACTACTAAAACACATGAAGTTCTGGGACTGTGAATGGGGATTGTCTACTCTGGGTTTAAATACAGTTTCACAAATTGTGTCTGATTATAGGATTCACAAAACATGTATTTAGAGACATGGATCCCTAAATCTATTTCTACATCTGGAATGTTTATGTATAATAAACACCCAGTTTGAAGCTTATTATCAACAAAAACTGAGAGTACAATGAGCCATAAAGAGACAAAAAGGGCAGCTTTCATCCAAATATAAAGCCTGAAAGGCAGGAAAGAAAGATGAATGCAAACAGAGAACCCAGGGATGGAGGAGGACATGAGCTGTTATAAGAGGGGACCGAAACAAAGTGAAGTGACTAAAACAAAATATGCATCCGTACACTGCTGAGATGAAAAGCTGATCTGCTCTGTAAAGAAAAGCTGGGAAATATTAATAGCTGAACCAGTTTATTCTTTTTTTTTTCCAACTTTGGTTGCTAAATATTAAATGATTAGAAGTTCCTAAAGAGTCACTTATATTGAACTCCCTCTTTCCTCTACATTAAGTCATTTTCCTTTCTCCCCTGGAAGAAGCGACTCTACTTACTTTGAGGAGAACTATTTTCTCATTGTTCTTTATGATTTTAACATCCCTAAATAAAATGCCAGAATGCTTAAATACTTAAAACACATCAGTGTGTATGTTTGTGTGCTATACCTAAGAATACTGCTCAACACAGGACTGTGCTACTCAACGTACTGGTTCACAAAACTGTTTTATTACTTATACAAAAAGAGGTAAGGAATTTGTGCCAAAATACTCAATAACTATGCTTCTAAGCACACTATTTATTTTGATTTTACTGATCTAACCTGGTGTGAATTCCTTGTATCATCACAGTTTTTGGATTTATTTTGGTCCACATTTTTAATATAACACTTGCTTACAGTAATGTTTAAATGATACTGCAGATCTGTTATGCAGCTAGAGAACAGCCAGTACACATCAAACACAGGTCTCACTCTTATGTCTGATGTCTTCTCACCTGTACATGCAGGGATAGAAAGTTTACAATTTGAAATAATTTTTGAGGTAAAGTTCTGTAAGTTATTACAGTGAACATTTTTAAAGCTTTAGATGGTTAAGAATTAGCTTTTGCCTTTGGAATCATGCTACATATATTCTTTAATGTCTTCTTACTGCTATAACTCCCTCACAATGATGCTCATCAATGGTGGGGTCAAGAGTCATCGAAGAGGAATGCTGGGGGTGGGATTCCTTAGTTACCATTGTATGGGCATGCTTTGCTTTAATTCTCACATCTTTTTAAGCATTCTGTGTAAAAGCTGGGTGTTGGGCCCGCCAAAAGTGAGTTACTCTCCCCAGTGAATACGAAGGAAAATGTGAAGTGGGTGGGTAGGGACAAAGTCTGATCACAGAAGGCATCTCATTCAGCTGCACCTTGGGATAAGATACTTTTTCAGTTACTTAGTGCATCTGATGGAACATTTTTATTTGGGAGTGGGAGGTGGCTGTGGCTTATTGGATATAGACTGGATTTCTGAAAACAAAAAACACCCAGTTGTTTATGTTTCTGCTGATTCAGTCTAGGAAAAGGTAATATGTAATAGTGTACTTAACAATATAGCTTGGTATATTAAAATCTTTTGTAAGAAGCAGACTGGAAATGATCCATAAAAATAATTTCTTTAAAAAAAAATTTCTTTAATGGGACTGGGAGGGGTGACTGGGAGGAATGAATGTGATGGACAAGAAAATACTACATTTAGGCAGACCAAATTTAACAACTAAACACTCTGATTTTCTTTTAGTGTGTATAT